ACATTCTGATTGCTAGGTGAATTCCACATACGTCTCGCTTTATCTCAGCGCGCCTTGTTTGTGAAATGGTTTCATCTTCCTCAAGCGAACGCAGCTATCGCCCTTCGTGAGTTTAGAAGTGGTAACAAACCTACGTAAAGACCTTTTATCAATTCGTGCTTTGAAAGGCTTGATCGAGAAGTTTGAAGAAGCAGGATCTTAGCAGTTTCGTTTGGTAGAGGGAGAAACCGTTGTAGGAACAGACAGTTACTGATATCGTGACTGCTATTGTTGACGGCAACCATGAAGCCATTGCGAGTAGTAGCAGTGCCCGGTGTATAGCGCGACAATTGGATTTGAATCTTTCAACGGTATGGCAAATCTTGGGGAACGTTCTGGTGTACTGAGAAGGGTGTAGAAACGGTGTTGGAGGGAAGTCGAAAACATTGCAATCCTTGGCTTAATACGAAAACGGGGCGATTTATCCGTCTGAAAGGGCATGATCATTTTCTACTAGGCTGAGGGTAGAAGTATTTCCGAAACGGCTAATTTTGTAAACTGTTCGCATGCGGTTGTAGTAAAAGCAGGCCGTGCATGACAAAAAGTCAATATTCAAAATCAACGCCTTGGCAAATGTTGTGCGTCACGGACCATAGATGCGGGAGGTGAAAGACGGCTGCGGAAATGCATTTGGAGGAATAGACGTGCAACCGTGGAGCAACTGACCACCCAGATCAACTAAGGGGCTACTAAAAGTGGTATTTCTGCGTGTGGGCCTTAGCAGTAAAAGCCTGGTTAATATACCAAGCGGCTTGTTGTCGATATCATCGCACTCTTTCGCGTCGATGGTTTGGCGTTAACGACAGTCTTCTCGAAAGACAGTTTGCGTGCAAGCCGCTTTCAGCCTAACGTCGGGAAACTGTTCTTCCAAGATATTGGAGCATCCAAAGCTCTCTGCGCATTCCACAAAATGTCCACATTAGTCGATTGAGTGACTGCTTCTTTTGCATCGATCTGTGCTTTCTTAGTACGTCTAGACAGACCTAGTATTTCGCGACTATTTACATTTCCATCCTCGATCCATCTAGACCAAATTCTATGCACATGGGATACATCTATGCGCGTTTCAGCAGCGATACGACGATAAGACGAATTAGTCTACAATTTGACCCCTCGTAAAATCGTCCCTTTGCTAAATTGCCTACTGGGTCGTTGTCCAGGCATCTTTTCATTCACAGGTGTCTTCTGGAGCGCTGAATTTCTCAAAATTCTGGATTCTGTAAGCAGCAGAGAGTAGTGACTGTTGGATCTGTTTGGAACTTTGGGGTTATACTGGTTTTCAGCAGGCGATGTATTAGCCTGCTCTTGCCAGTTCCTTTGATGTATCCCAAGCTAGCCTGACAATTGTGATTCCATACAGAGATTTTCTCCCGTAGAGGTACATCTGAAAGGGAAAAGAAAATGAAGCACCTTCCTTCTGGAATGTTGGATCTCCTCCATTTCCCCCCTTTATCTCACGCTATAATCATATTACCAACTTACAGCTTACCTCATCTGCATTACTTGTTCCGCTACGTATTCCCCGAATTGCATATTTATACGATCGAATCTTTACGGTGTTGCATTTTCTATGTCGGGCAGTGTAGTAATCTACAAACAGCATAAATCTCAATTATTAATAAGCGATTACTAAAATATCGTATAACAGATGAATGGTTATCTAAGCATGCCAAAGAAACTTTGACATATTTAAATAACCGTTCGTCTTGACTTAGATAACTTGTACGCATGCATTTATGCCTACAAGGTATATATATAATGAAAGCAATGTTTCTAGAAATTCTTAATTGAAGCATAAAAAATTATGAATTTATAGCAGAAATTTTTTATAATTCTAAAAAGTCTCAGGATTGGTAAACCGTATTTTGCTCACTTATTACAAGTAGTTACCAATGGAATGTTTGGATAACCAAGTTTTTCTTTTCTAATATTTTAATAGTATAATGTTGAATATTCCGTTTTTGCTTTGCGTGTGACTGTGACTTTGGACATCGTTTATATTCAACATATGTTTACTTATTTGCATGCATAACTGGAAAACTTGCATATAGTTTTGGGTTTTAAGTAAAGATGATTACACTCACTATACAAGCTAATTTTGAGTACCAAGGAATTTAAAAAAATATTTTATCAATTGTTAATATCATTTTGAAAGTTCCCCTCTTCTAGTATGGTCAACTACATATAGAGAAAGATTTTAAAACTTGCAGTAGGAGTAAACTTTAGGCTAATTTACTTCATACTTTGGATGACTGATTTCTGCTAATGCCATGCAACTGCACTTACACTTGCACTTCTTTCAAGGCATTATCCTATAAAAGACACAAGAGTTAGTAATGTGCAGTGAACTACTGTAGACAGCAGTGACTGTATCGATACATGAATCCGTTATTGTAAATTATTTTAAAGATGATGCATGCACTCACATAGAAACATTAGAAATCTATCATGCGAGAATGAAACAATAAACCCAGAAAATTATATTTATTATTTCATAAAAGATTCTTTCTGAAATCTCAGAAATATTAATAGTATTTTACAATGTCTTTAGATTTTGTTGTCTAGTCTCTTAACATTCCTGAGGTATTCTAAAATATCAATGATTTCTGAGCAAATTTAAAGCCTCTATATCTGTTTACTGACAAGACTGGTGAGAGTTTAATTATTTTAGGGCTTTTGACTGCTGTTGAAACTTTCTAAGATCACTGCAATTCATATACTTGGATTTTAGGTGAGGGATCTCGGCTTCCGAACCTTAAGTATTTGAACCAGAGCTTTAGAATTCTTAGAAATCGATCATTTTGTGACTTAGGTCACTGTGCTTTCATTACAAGGAACTGTATAAAGAACAAACGTGATAAAAATTCGCGCACAGTGTGAAACCAGACATCATAAATTACTGAAAAGTCTATGTTTGCATAGCCTTCTTGAAATCTTTTCGAGATAATTTATTATTTACCCTAACATCTGATAACATTGTGAACATTTTATGCTAAAATGGTTTACGGAAGTGTCTCATAATTATTCGAAATTTTTGATGAATATGATAAAGAATGAAATCACCTAAATTTGAGAGTATATATAAGTTGAAACTGGCATGTAGGATATGAATGTAAGAAACTTTTCCAATCGTCTCACAATTTTGTAAGTATTCATTCTATTAAGTCGTTAATAGTAATTTATATAAACATTTAAAGCTATTTTGGAGCTTTATTTCTATTGAATTCTCTGATCGATCTATCAGTAGAAAATTAGTTTCTCGATACATTAATTAACATTTTTTAGGTCACTGAAAATTAATATCTTTTGGTTTACTATTATTTTAGTTTCGTTTTCTGTGAAGATCCTTTACACAAGCCAGACGTGTCGAAATGTTCACAAACAAAATCTACAGTAAAAATATCAACTGAAGTCTCGATTTGAGAAAATCGAACTTTGATTTGAATATTAATAATAAAGTTCCTTTTATAAATATTCTGAAGTCAATAGAAACAGTACTAGTTATTAGTTATTAACGTATCAATTATAAATCTGAGTTTTATGATAAATTCTTGTTATCGCATTACGTTACTTTCCTATAAGGTAGATTTATAGACTCTGAGATATTTTCCTTCTAGCGCCTTTGATGCGTGTTTTATTAATAGTTCATTAGAATTTGCTTACAACCATGCCTATGAATTTTCAAATTAGTTTTTTAAAGGCTCAAATTAAAATGTGTTACCAAATATGGATTCTTTATAGTTTTATAAGAATGTATGAAAGCATTCGCATTAAACAAATATGTACTCTTCTTCTTGAAAGACTGAATATCTAACAGCATTTGCTTTAGGTTATAAGCTTTAGAATTCCATAGCCTCTTAATTCATAGATAGTTGTTTTTTTCAAAATTGCTGCCAAAGGTTTCATAAATTTACTTAAGACACTCGATTCCGTCAGATTTTAAATAGAATTAATATCTTAAATCAATGTAAATAATTCTAAAATTTAGATAAGCTAAAAAGTTTACTAAATTTTTGATGCAATAGAAAAATGTAAATTTGTTTTATTGCTATCTTCTGATGAAGTTTCAGAGGCAACGTTTACAGGTATATTTTTGTCTAGTGAGTTCTTTACTTCTAAAAAAAAATTGGTATCGAAACAAATAGTTTAGTTTGAGATTTTCTCTTTCGTTCTCTCCTTGGTCATGTATGATGAACCGAAAGCTAAAATAATTGATTTTTAATACCGTTATTAAATTATATAAATTTTCCAAATAAATAAAATCATTAGGGAAATGATGCAACCACATTAGAATATTTTTTTTGTGTTAATGATTCCAGACTGTAAATAAATTATCCTAAAGAATGATCATAAAGATTATCCTGTCGTCAAAATTGTGATATCTTTTATTGTTAAAAATTTCGTATTCATAATTAAAAGAATTACTGAGGTTATACTAAATCGATTAAGTAGAAAATAATTGTCAGAATACTTTGGTATACTGTATGCTTATAATTTTCAGTTCTCCAAGAAATTAATGTGTACGCTGTAGTACATATTAGTACACACACACACACTAGGATTCACCATAAAAAACGATTTGTTTTTAGCATTCACCTAGAACTCGAAAGCAGCAGGAAATGGTTACATGTCATACCACCACTTTGTACAAATTTAGTAGTTTTTATAGTATCTTGTATAATTTTGCAATCATTCTTGTTTCTGATGGCATTTATCATACAGCAATTGTGGTGTCTCATCTAAACACTTCTCGATTTCTTTTTTGGTCTGTAGACAGCCGAAATCAGTTTTCAATAGCCCATTCTGTACATGCACAGTACATGCATTCTGTACACGAGTTCAATAGAAATTGAACTCGTTATGGCTATGCACAACTCTTAAGTTTCACAACTTGTAGTTTTGCGTATCTCTGTTAGCTTTGGAATTACTTTCTCTAGGTTCCATACTTTTGCTGTTAAATGTTCAGCTCCGTTTGGTAACTTTTGTTTACGTGCACGTTGTTTTCGTGATGCTGTGAAGCACCATTCAAAAACGAAAAGTCAACAGATTTTCCTACAAGACGTATGTGCGCATGTTCTCAGATATAAAATTTTAAAGAATGATTCGAAAGTAGTTGAATAAAAATTCTACAAAGAAATGCAGTGAAATTTTATAAATCCATTTCAATAATATTTTTCTCTTTTAGATAAATATGAGTTTCAAAACTGCAGCTGTTTGGACAGTGTTTTTATGCATTTCTGCATTTCAAATCGATGCAAACAGAAGGCAAGAATGTAAGTTTAATCATTACAAATTTGTTTTGAGAAAATTAAAAGATTAAATTTATGTAAAGTCATTTTGTAGAGTTTAATTTCGTAACGTTGAATTTTTGAAAATTTCAATATTTTAATAACTTTTACAAAAGGATACTTAAGTGTTAAAATTAGTCCCGCAATGTCTTTTCTTGATAATGAAGATAAACCAGGTTTATAATAATACCTTCTGAAAAAAAAATTAAAATTTTTAATAATCGTATCTTTATCTAAATCATATATTAAAATTAATAATTTGAATGACGCAAATAATGATTGTTATATAGAGATTACAATTTTTTTCACAACTTTCTTCATTTCAGCTGATTTTAACATAGTGAATGAACGACAAATGCAGGGTCTTCCCACACAGCCTAATATGCCAGGAATGGACAACATGCCTACGCAGCCGAATATGCCGGGTATGCCTGACATGGAAAATGTTCCAACGCAACCCAGTATGCCGGGAATGCCAGGCTTACCTTCTTCACGACATTTCCAATCCAGACGACGTGCACGTGTTAATCCAACTATCCCTGGGATGCCAGGAATGCCAGGTGGTCCTGACATGCCTTCATTTCCAGAAAAGCCAAATAATAATACAAGTAATGTAACACAGTCAGAAATCCCTGGTGTCGTTATTCCAGCTCATTCAAACAACGTCGTGTACATAAGAAATGACTAAACTTTTCTGGTGTTTGTAAACAATGTAATGTAGCAAAGCATATATTTTGAAAATATCAGTCCTTTATTAAAACTGTTAGTCTGCTAACCTGAAACGTTCAAGATTCCAGCGTACTCTTCAGACTGACCTATTAATACTATATCATTGAGCATTATGGATTTTCTTTGTGGATAAATTAAAAATGAAATATTATTGTAGTGTGTCTTCTTCAAATAAAAATAAGGTATTATCTTAAAAGCTTTACTTCAACAGAGTTGAAAAAAATCAGTCTTTAACTTTTGTAGTATTCCAAAATTAATGTTTCAGTACTTATATGTGAAATCATTGCTAAATGAACTTTAAAAATACTTCATTCAGTTGGTCTCGGAAGAAAATGCGTGCAAGTCTATATTATGTCTATATGAAAATTTACGAGTACATAATTAAATACTCATAGCTTGGATTGAACGAAGTCTGTGTATATAAACGGGGTTTTGAATCAATTTATGTTCAGACGTTTATTGCAGTTTTAATAGATGAAGATTTTTACTCAAATAACCAATAAATTGAAAGAATAAAGAATGCTGCAGTAAATTTTTATGCATAGAATAATCTCAAAGTATTTAATTTCTTGCATAACTTTTCAAATTCTGATTTCTTCTATTAATTTTTATTTCTGATATGATATATCAATTTAGGTACTGCCATTTCATTAATCAAGGAATAAGAACAATTTTCAAAAACTTTTACTAATAAAATTGGTTATTTATAACGTTACATATGCTGATCGCACATCTGATAAAAAATTTGAATGGCATCACTTTTCCACTCTGCATCAAAACATTTGGACGGCAATATTAGGGTTTGAAGTATGTCATGAATTATGATAGGGAGAAATTTATGCTACTCCCTTTACATAAAATATTAAAAATTTTTAGCCTTAGAATAGCACTTATTTTTGAAAACGTACTAAGTTAATTTTAAATTAAATCTCTCAGTTACTTCATAATATTGACGGTTACGTTTGCTCATTATGAAAAACTGGATAGAGTTTCACAGTCTTTGGTAGCATAAAACATGAGCTGTAGGAAGACTATAGAGGAATAATCCTCTTGTACTAAACTGCAGACAGACAAAATCAGACGAAGCAACCTTTTATTTGAACACAAATAAGTAACAATGACCCAACTTGGGTTTACACAAGCCAACACTTCTGGCCTAGCTTAGACAAGTAATGTTAAACTAAAATCAAATATAGTTAGATTGGCCTAACGGGTCACAGGATAAAGTAACTCACAGAAAGGCTCTCGTTTGTAGAAAACTGGCGAGACAAGCCTAATGGCTAGACACATTAAACGCCAAAAAATCAAATCGCCATTTTGTCACGGTAACAACATGGCCTCAAGTACGCAAAACACGCTCTGAAACGTTTTACGGACGAGTCTCCATTTAACATCCAGAACGATTCCGGAAGGCGGCGAGAGCCAGAGACATGTTATTGGGTGCTAAACATTGTCGAAAGAGACCATTACAGAGGAGGAGGTTTACTTGTATGGGCTGGGATAGCAACGAACGGCCCCCACCGACCTCTACGCGATTCCGTCACAGCTGTTCGATATCGCGACGAAAGCCTCTTGTGCGTCATCTTATTGATGCAATGGGTACCGACCCGATATTTATGGTCGATAATGCCCACCCGCATACAGCTCGAGTGAAGCGGAGTTATCTGGAGAGTGAAATCATTCCACATCTGCGGAGGCCTGCTAGATCACCGGACCTGAATCCCATATATCATGTGTGGGAAATGTTGGGACAATTTATAGCATGTTGCAGTGCGGCGCCAGGCACCCTCCATAAGCTCCGACATGCATTACTACAGGAATAGGCGCTACTGCCAAACAAGCTATCAACAACACTATTGTTAGCTTTCCTCGCCGTTGTCAAGCATGCATTTCATCCAGAGGGAATATAGAAACATAACGCATACCCGTTATTAGCGTTATGTTTCTATTGCACATTCTTCCGACCCATTTGGTCTTTCCCGATGTGCTGGTCATAATACCTGTGTTTTTGATCAATTGGTAGTCTAGATAAATTGGTAGTCTTTAGAAACTAGAATACTTCAGAACTGTTAGCGAATAATCGCAGTTCTAATGCTTGAATAACAAGTCCAAAGAAGGGTTAATTTACCTTTTTATTCAACTCAAAATATTCACAGATTGCCTCTCTCGAGCTTACGGGAAGCCTCCACTTGGGCTTAAGATAGAAAATAAGAAACTAATATACTGCTAACTAAACTAAAACCAGCCGCAGCTGTACAGAAATTACTAACAGAGTTATACATTATTCTAGCCCACTGGCGAATACTAGCAAACAAGTAGCAATGCATCCGAACGTAGTAAGATTTGGCTTAAAGCAACGACGCGGCCAGATAGCAGAATACGGTGTACTAAGAATATCTAAGCTCTTCTGTGACGGACGCTTCAACTTAAATACTGGTTCTACCTTATTTACATTAAACGCGATCCTGAAAACTCATTCTTGCAGGGAATTGTAGGTGGAAAATAAGAAATTAAAGGAACGCTTATTCAAAAATAAAAATATCTGTTAGGAAATTAAAATAAACCCCTACATCGTATTTGCTTTATTGTTTGCTATGTGGTCTAGGAATGCTACTCCAACCTCTTGGATCAATTTCACGCATATCCATTAAATAATTGTTTCCGTGTTTTGCTTTTGTTGCTTTTTCTTCTTTGAGCTGGAGGCTAATTCTCATCCTGCAAATAATTAACTCGTAATAGAAATAACAACCAATACAAATTTCTGAATTTCAAAATTCATTTTATTGGTCTATGTTTTGCTGGAGTAATTTGGCTGAAAGAAGCCATAATGGTGAACTTATGAGGTCAGCATACTATCTAGAACAATTGCAGAGAAGCTAATTTTATTATTGTTCCGTTTGTATAAGTGCTTATTGGAATACAAAGTTTACCAAGTTTAGAAATCAACCCTATAAGAAACTATGGAAAAGTATAACATAATTTGAAACAAAATACTTCGATTAAAATATAGAAAAATCTAATATACGGTTTTATGTGAAGTATGTAAAAGAACAAAAATAATGAACAGAATACTTTTTTGCTCAGTATTCCTCTGACAGCCTTCCTTATGCCTCAACAAAGTAAATATACAATTTCGGTTACTACATTTTAAATATTATCTTTAACTTGTATTCAGTATTCGCAAAAATTGTTTTCTTTTTAATGTGAATTTTTTATCCTTCTGATTCTACCATGTGAACCAAAATCTTAACGACTTTTAAATATTAATTTATTCAAATAATTTGACTGATTTCTAATAAACGAATAATATTTTGAATCTTCTAAAAAGTTACTTTTATTTCAGCGTGAAAAGTGTCATTAGTTCTGAGCATAAAATAATAGCAAAGATCATGGTTATGATTAAACAATAAAATTAATTAATTACTCTTAATTCAGTCTTAGTTCAGGCTTTTTCTCTGTAGATGGATATCGAAGGATTGGATTTATTAAATCTCTAAAACACAGTGGCTAAGATTATTCTAATTACCGAAACTGATCTGTAGTTTATAAATATGCATTGTTAAGCCTAAAATTTAACTTTCTGTTCTCTTAAAATCTTCGTTTTTAAGCACAAGTAGTGAAATGCCCGAGTCTCTTGCGACAAGCTCTGTCTTGCCTCCTTGTCATGATGAATTTCATGGGCTTGCTGCGATATCGGATAAGCGAAATTAATCACAAAAACAACAGGAATTAACTTGTAGGTTACCGTCCTACAAGTTAATTCCTAACCTCTTAAACTTGTAGGTTACCGTCCATTGTTACATTTTAGTAAGCAGAATTTTTTTTAAATATTCCGACATTCCTTTTCCGAGTGTTAAATTAAAAAAGTTGTATGGTACTATGCTGACTTCTTTTTCTATAATGCATATAATAAGTTTCAGTGTGATTCTTCGAATGACAATAGTAAATACTTTTGTTTACATTTGTGTCGTTTGTTTAGTTTGTGCGCATTTAAGGGGAGAGGGACGAGATTTAGTCTTAAACTAACACGGCACTATCAACCCTTAATTCTAAAATAAACAACGTAAAAACATGAGAAAAACTCAGAAATGAAAAACGCGCAAATGTTTCAGAGTGACTTCTTCATTAGTCAGAGATAATAAGAGGACAGGAATACTTAAAACCGCAAAGAATTCATGATTATGGATTATTAAATTATGGCAAAGCACACGAAGGCTATCTGCCTAAAGGGAGGGATGCCTTCGTGGAGGACTTTCTAAGGGAAACTGGCTCGTATACACGTTACACATGGGGAAAGCCACGAAAACGCCCATGCAGCCAGTCCGTTCGCGGGAACCTCGGACCGAACTACCAGTGTTCAGCGTCTTTACCTCTCGGCCGCTGGTGGGCCAAGAATTCATGAAAGAGAAAAAAGAAAGAAATGTGAAATTATATATGTGACAAAAAAACTGTGTGAAAATATTAAATTATTGGTAAATTTTTTTTTAAATTTCAGTATTGAAAAGCCATGAATCTAAGGAAAAAGGTAGTAGTTAACTCAAGAGTATGTTCGTTTAAATGGCTGACTGTATTGTTGTTAAAATGAAGCAAAATTCAACCGTAGATTGAAATTTAAGAAAAGCTGCATGCATTTTAAAAGATTCTGACGCAGTTTTCTCCCGAAATGCAAGTAAGAGTTCTCTAAGTTCGAATAAAATATGACTGAATTTTAAAAATTTTAGAATTTAAGGCAGCATGCCTTCTTTTCATTTATTACTTTGGCAACACTTATACTTCCTTTCAGAATATTGAATACTTATTTAGGAATTTACACTCAGTCAGTAGTGCACATTTGTTTCATAATCATTTTCAGGTTGCTTTTCTGCATCCTTAAAAGCTGGATACATAAATCTTTAGTGCATAAATATCTCTACTGCACTATTTTAAAAATTGAAACTAAAGATCTGCGAATATTGAATTCAAGAACTGTAAATGCCTTGAAATCTAAATATGTTTAACAAAAATCTTTATATTGCCGATTATTATTAAAATTTCTTTTTATAATTCTTGACTTTCGTCACATGCATCATTTATGATTTTGAAATCTTTATACAATGGGTAACAAAATCCTAGATTTTAATTTTTCGCAATGAATACCTTCAGTTGTTAATTGTTTTATAGATTTGCTTCTAAAACGACGCAATTTTTAAATCACTC